CTACAGTGTTGAAATAAATGCTGCAAAAGATAGTTAAATGTATGGAACTTAGAGAACAGATAAAAAATAACACCCAGACAGCTTAACAAAGAAGAAAAGTTCTCTCCCTTGAGATTTTAATTAAAGTTGACAACTTGGAGCCCTGTGCACTCTGTTTTGTGGCCAAACAACTGAGCTTGGGAGCAACTCAAGCTCCTGCTCCATGACAATCAGCTGCCTGTGAGAACTGTCTAGTTTTGGTCTTGCAACAACTGCTCGCCAAATCTGCTCCCTTTCACACGGCAGACTCGCCTCTCAGATAATGTGACTTTGTTACAGACAAACCCCAGTGCTTCTGCTCTGGAGGAGATCAAGCTGCCTGTCTCTCCACTTGAGTTGCTAATGCATGAAGAGAACATGAGGAGAACAGCTTGGCTTCAGGGCACTGGAAGGTGCAGGCTGGGTGCTGTGGTCAGACTCAGAGAGGGTCAAGCAGGGCTTGCATTCAGATTGGAAAGAACTAAAAAAATAATAATAATAAGTAATGGATTGAAAACAGCTAGGAAAGCTCTGAAGAACATAAAACAAAATAAAAAACACTTCTGGCTTTGAGAGCCAAGGCCAGTGCTGTCTTATCAGCCTGATGTGGCTACAAAGGTCTGGAATCCAAAACAAAGCCAAAGAAACTGCAACTGTGCTCTACCAGACATCAAGAGATTTTACAAAAAAAAAAAAGGGACACTTTAAAATTTTAACAGCTGAAGACAAGTTTGTTATAGAAGGTTTGTAGTAGGTGAGATGGAGAAAAAGTATTTAAAAAAGCTGTAAGTAGAGGAGATATAATTTTGATATGAAAAGATTTTGTATTTTGTCTTGTTAAAAGGATAAAGAGAGATATACAAGACCAGAAGGCCTAAGTACATCAAGAAGGTGTGCGGAATGATTTATCAAGGAAATATGTATGTTTGCTTGTTGGTTTCAAGTTTGTTATAAAAGGTTTATATTCACAGACATAGAGACTTAATGGACCAGGCCCTCCCCCGTGCAGAGGCAATGTTATACACTGATGGATGCAGTTTTGTTCGCCATGGTGTACGGTATGCTGGAGCGGTGGTGGTCAACCAGGACCAACAGGTGGAATGGGAACAAGGGATACCTCAAGGGACATCAGCACAGAGGGCTGAGCTGATTGCTCTAACTAAGGCTCTGGAATTGGGAAAAGGAAAAAGGATAAATATATTCACTGATAGCCATTATGCTTTTGCCACCACCCATGTGCACGGGGAGATTTATCAAAATAGAGGGCTGCTGACCTCCAAAGGAAAGAAAATTAAAAACAAAACTGAGATATTGGCCCTGCTGCAAGCCATCTGGATGCCTGAGAGGTCACCATCATCCATTGTCGCGGGCACCAGAAGGGGCTTAGCCCCGAGATGATTGATAATAATGCTGCTGACCAGGCAGCAAAACAAGCCACCCAAAAATCAGCAGGGAAACAAATGGTTCTGCTTCCCATGCTAGTACTCCCAGAAAAACCTGAATACACAGATAAAGAAGTAGTGGAAATGAACAGAAGACGCTGGACTCGAGGAAAACATGGATGGTGTACAACAAATGATGGAAAGGTGGTGCTGCTGTAGCAGATACATTGCTGTGAGAACTACATGAGTCCACCCACCTCGGCGAGAAAAGGATGATGGCTGCCCTGTGACCCCATTTTGTCAGCAAGGGATTAGCCCAAAAGGCCCAGGACATGATGAGACGATGCCCCACCTGCCTCAAGGTAAATGCTAATCAGGAAATCGGGCCCCCTGGGGTCCAACACAGAGGACTAACTCCAGGAGAACATTGGGAGTTGGACTTTACTGAAATGAAGCCTGACATGTATGGCTACAAATACTTACTAGTTTTTGTGGACACTTTTTCAGGATGGGTAAAAACATATCCCACTAAGAGGGAGACAGCTAAAGTAACAGTTAAAAAGCTCCTGACAGAAATAATTCCCCATTTTGGTTTGCCCTTAGCTCTGGGGTCCGACAGTGGTCCAGCCTTTATGGCTGAGATATCTAAATTAATTAATAATATCCTTAGAATAAAGTGGAATCTACACTATGCCTATAGGCCTCAAAGCCCAGGACAGGTAGAAAGAACAAACCGGACTTTAAAGGAGATTCTGACTAAATTATGCTTGGAGACTGAACTAGGTTTGGTAGAGCTTCTCCCTTTTGCCCTCCTCTGAACGAAGTGCACTCCCAAGCCCCCCCTCAATCTGTCCCCCTTCCAGATTGTTTATGGACGATCTCCCCCAATCATTCAGCTAGTAGATGTAGAATTAAAAGAAAAGCTTTCCCACCTTTGACTACTTAAAATCCTTAAAAGCAGTTCATCAGCTTCAGTCAGAACTACATGATAAATTATGGATGACAATGCCTAGTCCCAATGAAAAACCTTTACAACCTCTACCCTATAAGCCAGGAGATTTGGTTTTTATTCTCAGGTTTGATTCCAAGACCCTGGAACCACTTTGGAAGGGACCAGTTCCTGTTGTCCTGTTGACTCCTTGGACAGTAAAGGTAGCCAGACATTCTGCCTGGATACATCTCAACCATCTGAAGGCAGGACCCCCCGCAGACATCACAAAGGACAAATGAAAGGTTACCAGCCAACCAGGCGACCTAAAACTGAGACTGGAGCGGGCTGGAGATGTTTCATATTCATGATAATGTTCTCTGGGACACTGGCAGTTTTGCCCCCAAGAGGACTAGATCATACAAAAAAAGTATAGATTCAATTGGCAAACTCACTTAATCTGTCCAAATTCTGTCTGAATGTTGATGTAAATTTCCATTATGTACTGGGAAGCTGTCTTATTCCGGTATGCACCTCTTTAGAATTAATACGGCCCTATACCCTGTTCAAGGACTTCCCAGGAAAGAACCTTACTTATATAGATAGTTATAACTGGGGACATGCCTCATGTCGTAAACCTAAAAATGCTGTCAAATTATATACTCCCAAGGTAATCATGTCAAATAAGACCCCATGTGCTATGTATGAAAATTGTACAACTAAGTGTCTGAGGATAAAACAATCAGAAGGGATGCCCTGCCATATAAAACAGAAAATTGTATATAGCAATTGCCATATCTCCCTGCCAATAGGATGGTTTTATACCTGTGAAGGAATAACCTTCAATTATATTCCAGCAAATTTAACCAAAACCTGTTACTGCTTGAGTCATCTAGCTGTAGTATTGCCAGATAGAACTGATTTGATTGTGTCTAATAGAACTAAACGTTGGTCACCTTACACTGCGCCAGGATGCGATGATGATGTAGGTCTGTTAACAGATGCTGAAGTAATAACTATGATAGCATCCTTTGTTGCCCTGCCTTCCATAGGGGTCCATGCTGAAAGAGCAGTATGAAAATTAGCATGCAAGGCGGTCAAAGGGTTAAATGCTACCTCATCAGCCTTGGCATTAATTAACCAAGAGTTACAGGAACAGAGACAGGCAATCTTAGATAATAGAGCAGCAATAGACTATTTGTTGCTCTTCCACCACTAAGGTTGTGAAAGAGTAAAAATATGTGTTGTTTCAATCTTACCGATAATGGTCCAAAGATCAAAGAAAAGGTAAAACAATTAGAAGATCTGGCTCAAAGAGTACATGATGAAGATGGCAGGGATTTGTTCAAATGGCTAAGTGGTTGCCCAACCTAAAATGGTTAAAACAACTTTTTCTTGTCATCATAGTTGTGTGTATATGCTTATTATTGTCATGTTGTTGTATACAATGGATGCCTATATTTATGCATAAGATTACTTAGGTTACAAAAAATCAGTGGGGAATGTGGGACTGCAAAACCTTGTAATCTTAGAATTCTTGTAGCCCTGACTGCAATTAAATGTGAGTTAATGATTAAGAAGCTTGTTAGTTCTGGGAAGCTAGATAAAATTTGTAACAGACATGGAGTTTTAAAAGTAAATTACTCAACTCCTTGTTTATCTGGAGAACAGACGTTCCTGGACCCACTATCTGTAGAACAATCCATCAGTGTGTCTGCCAACCATCAGTACGTGACAGTCATGACCATTAGTGTGTGTGTGTCTGCTGACCATCAGTATGTAACAGTCGTGACCATTAGTGTGTGTGTCTGCCGACCATCAGTACGTGACAGTCGACCACTAACCTTTGTTCCTTTTCTTGTAAATCTACATGTTAACTTCCCCCTCAACTCCCTATAAAAACAGCCTCGGACTCTGAGCCAGTTGCCTCTCTAAGCTACTTTGCTTTGGGAGTGCTGTCTGGCCAGACTAATAAAGGTCTGTTTTACTTTCCAACTTGTCCAGTGTGTTCCCTCCCGGGTGTTCTTCGTTGCAGTCAGCTCCTCGGAGCGTTTGGTAAGGCCCACGGTCTTACATTTTGGAGGCACCGCTGGGATCCCTGGGTGTGCTTCACTGCAGTCAGCTCCTCAGAGCATTTGGTAAGGCCCACGGTCTTACACTATGCAAAAGCATTTGTCTATTGTTAGCCTTCTCCCCTGCTCCAATGGCCTTTTCTCTTACTCTGCTAGGCTCACACCCATCCTTGCTGAAACATGTGCCACAGCCTCCAAGATAGACTTTCCATGTCATGTGAATCAAAAACAGAATATAAGCCCAACTGATTGGCAGAGACCCTCCCGCTCCCCGTAAGGACAGAAACCTTTTGTCCCACAATCTAGTCTTTTCCATGTGGCGATTGATCTGCCTCTCCCCTCAGGAATCCATTTTCTTGCCCAGAAAGGGGAAGAAAAAATTTCCCAATGGAGTGAGGAGTTACCTTCCTTGTTGGCTGGGTTGTCTGGTTGCCTGCTTTTGCTGAGGTCTCCTAAGGTCTCTGGGTTATTGAGGCATCTGGTGTCAGGTAAGGTCTCCCAAGGTTTGGGAGAGTTCTCCTGGCTGGCTTGCCAGATGCTATAGTTGAGTGGTCCAAAAGGTTCTTGGGTACAACAAGTAAAGAATTGCCAAGCATATACTTATTATTTTGTGAGTTTATTGAAGATCTTAGGGCAGCAGCAGGAATAGGCAGAAAGGCAGAGCAAGCAAAAAGAGGCTTTGTAACTCAAGCTTCTAGTATTTAAAGGGTCAGGTGCCTCTCACTGTTTCTTTTTTTGTGATGTCAGCAATCTGTACAACCTCCTAAGTTTAAGCCTGAATAATCAATAGCGTGGTCTTCTGTTTATGGTTGAATGGAGAGAAGGGAAGTGGCTCACACAACTTCCCTGTCAGGATTATGGAAGCATGGATGACCATTAGGAGTGGTGTAATGTTTACAGTTGATCATGGAAAGGGAGTGATTCAGCTTCTTTGTTTCTAACTGTACTAATTCCTATGCTTTTTATTGAAATACATTTTATTAAAAATTGTTTTCTTTTTTCTGCTTTATTTTACAGTTATGGTATTATATTCACTGTGTAGGTGAAATGTGCATATAAATGATTAACTTTGGCTTTCATTTCAAGATATCCAGAATAAAATGTTTGCTATAAAAGAAGTATTGGCTCTGGTAGGATTATGAGAACGACTAATCTACTCACTCTACAGTGAAACTGAGAGGTGAAGGAACCAGCTCAAGGTTACAACGCAAGCAAATGATAAAGGAGGGCTAGAAGCTACCTAGATACTTAATACTCCTTCCAATACACCACATGACCTCATGGAAATGATGACATAAATGTACAAAGAGGGAGAAAAATTTAAATCACACTTGGATTGGGCTGGTGACTACGGGGCCCAATGGGACTCCTCCTTAGATGGAGGAGTCCTTCTACCCACTCCCACACCCACCACAGAGGCAAGATGCTCTAGCAAAAATATTTCTGGTGTTTGATTTTTGATTTGGCACTGAGCTTATCCAAACTGAGTTCTAGTCAATTCAAAGTTTGTCTTTGTGTGTGTGTGTGTGGTAACAGAGATCGAACTCAGGAACTTCCATTTGTGAGGTAGGTGCGCCGGGACCACTGAGCTAAATCCCCAGCCCCTCAAAGTTTGTCTTTGAAAGACAAATGGATAAAGAAGTCAATGGTAGTGAAGTTTGTGTGTATGGCTGGCTTGAAAGTAGAGAAAAAAGAAAAATAAAAAATTTTTATCTAAAGAAAACAACAGTCATTCTTATCTTGAATGTGAATTTCAAGAGTACTTCACAATGAGGAAGTCAAGGGAGAAATGCTCAATTTATAATCAGTAAGTGATGCTCCTAGTTTTAGGCCTTGAGTTCAGACACTTTTAGTCAGATGGAGTTCAAAGGAGGTCTGAATTTGCAAACAACTAGGTAGAATAGGTAAAGGGCATGTCCCAGGTAATGTACATTAAAACAGTGAAACACTCCTAAAGGATAACATAAAGTAATGAATATTTATGTCAAGGTTGATTTCTAATCAAACCACTATTCTGTATTTAGGAAGCAAGAAAATTCTCTCAACTAAGTAGCTTCAATGGTTACTCTTTCATAAACCAAATCCAGGCACTCTCAAAACAAGAACAGAGGAAAGTCAACTAATTGTATTCTTTTAAATTTATCATCTTCTGCATTGAGCCTAGAGTCACTGATACTGATATATAACTATCCCAATCTGAGATTGAGGTTGTCTTCCACGCTTTAAAAAGCTATTAAAACACTCAATTTCAGTGTCAGCTTAAAAGCTGATATCAACAATTGTAGCATTTATGCTCAATATGTAAACCAATATGATTCTGTTCTTTTGGACTCAACATAGTAAACACTGTCCACTTTTGTGCAGGTAGATCCTATAGAGCCTCATATTTTAGGATGGAAATCCTAAACCTTCTGATGGACTTTGCTTCAAATGAATATGATCCTAAATGCCTATGTAATCATTTTTATGAAATTAATGGAATCTGTATCTAGAAAAGAAAATAAAATGCAATACAGCTGAAGTTACAAATGTGCTAAGCCAAAACATTTAACTCTCTTTTCACATCATGTTAAGTGAGGTCAGAGGCAGATGAGGCAGGTGGATGGAAGCACTGAGGAAGTTGGCTGCTATGATGAACTGCGGCAAAGGAACATATCTGGTAGCTTTAAAACCCTAGGGAGAAAAATAAACAGTTCATAATTAGATCACTGTTTTAGACTTATTTTGGAAGTGCCTAAATGACAAAGGAGTGATTAATCTAGGTGCAGAGTACACCGCCCAACTGCAAGCTCCTCTTACTTAACTTACAGGAATCTCTGTGGGCACCAGCATCAAAGTGGGCCAGAAATGAATGCTGTGAGGTGGAGAGAAAAGATTTTTCCCAGAAAACCATTCTTCTTGCTGAACAATGCAGAGTATTAGAAAGAGTATTAAGAAGCATGAAACTTGATCCATCTTAACTATCCACTCACTTGGCAATGTACATCTTATTGGAGAAGGACTCCGACTTCGAGATATCTGGAAAATATAAAGTGTAATATGAATTACACAACAATGAAGCTCAAAGGGTAAATCCTTTTGACATTTTCCTCTAACATTACCTAATTAGTTGCTCTGAGGCACTTTAGAACTACAGTGTAATCCCACCTCACCCCCATTCAGAGTGACCATTGTGATTCCTTTTACACTTTTTGCAGTAAATGGGCACTCAATTTGGTTTAAATCACATTATTAATTAAAAGCTAGATACAGTGACCTAAGAGTAGCCATACTGAACTCAATGCTTTCCACAAAATAATTATTATTATCCTAGTTAACTAATAAAAGTTAAAATAAAGATGCAATCTCTGGCAGATCCTTTATGTAAGTTATCTCATGTGTCCAAAACTTGGCTCTATTAAGTATTGAGCAGCCAGGAAAGAATCATTTTTTAATCTCACCTCTACTATCATTAAGCAGAAGCCACCACACTGTTACTACAGGCCTGATGCTGGCCACAGGCATCATCTCTGCTCTGAGCTTTCAAACACTTTAAATAGATGCTAATGAACATGGAATCTATTCTGGATAAGAGGCCTTAAGTAGGCCAAAAAAAAAAAGACTAACCAAAGATAGTTGCATTTCATTTTGCAGTTACATCCAGTTTTGTTGTAGGGAGAGGATGACAGAAAGAGAAGGGAAGTTGGCAACAGTTTTGCCTTGGAGAATATATTTTATTTCCTCATTTAAAGTTTAAATTACTTTGCTCTCCCTAAGCACAGAATACAAAACAGAGAGAAAGAGGTTCAGATACAGAGGACACACCCATGGATACAATTTCCTGCAGGAGCCCAGAGTTAAAGTCTGCCAGGCCTGGAACACATGAGGTGTCAATAGTACTGTTTCATCTGCTAGGTCATTTCCTCTTGGAATGTTTCCTTCAGTATAGTGCTCTCAAGATTTCCTTTTATTTTTATCTACTGTAAATATTCATTCATGAATATAGATAATTAAGTTATATTAAATTTTCCAGAAGCAAAATGACTGTGTCAGATGCATGGCTTTTCTACTTCCCCAGCATTTTTTAGGTGATTTTCTTCCCATGTGTACTCCTTTCCACATTCCCAGCCCATGGAAAGGCTACCCATTTTAAAGACCAAGTCAAATATCAGGTCCACCATGAGCCCTTTCCGCATCACCATGGCTCTATACCAGTGGTGGCAAACCTGTGGCATGTGTCTTATTTATTTTTTCTTTTAAGACAAAGATGTTAATGAAGGAGTTGTTTTTTCTAAACTAAAACCTCAGTACTCAGGTTTAATTGCAGTGTTGGCACTTTGTGATAAATAAGTGGGTTTGGGGTTGCAGTTTGGTCATTCATCTCTAAAAGATTAGCCATCACTGCTCTAGGCCTTTCCTTTATAGACTGTATCATAATGCATCACCTTCAGTTAATTTGTTTAAATTAACTGATCTTCCTATATGAAGATCCATTCAAGGGAAAGCCCATATCTAATCATTTTTGTTTTCCTTATAAGTTTGGCATCCTCCAAATACACAAGGAATGTTTTAAGAAGAGGCTTGTTGGAGAAATAATAGATCCTTGCTAAACTCCATAAGAAAGGTAGGACACGTTAGCTACACAGGTGGGGGGGGCCGGTGCTTTATTTTGCTGATAAGGTTTTGCCACTTGAGGGCTACAGCTGCAACTGCTAGAGACAATTGCAGAGAAGTGGAACACTGCCAAATGTGACTCTCCTTTACCACTCCGTCTTCTAAAATATTTTGGTCACATATTTAAAGAATTTTTATTTGAAGGAAGAACAAATACCCTATCCGATGTACCCGTCTTGGCCCAGCCCTGTGTTCTGAAGGTATTGACTAAATATTACTTGTTGAATGAAAAGTGGTGAATCATAATGATGTCTTTAGGGATGTTATCTCCAACATATTCAGAGATATTTTTGCTGTTATTTTTTAATTTGATGGAAGTGTTAGTAATCCATACAAGGACTAATAGGCAAAGAAACTAACCTTCTTTTTCCTACTTTGAAGTTAGGGATAAATTAATACTTTCAATGTCCTTTATTAAGCATTGATATCCAGACCACTTGAGCAATATCTCCAAACTCATACAGAAACACATAGAGGAACCAAAAACCTGTGCTCAGATCAGCTAAGATGTCTCCTTCTCTGCTCAGAGATTATCTAATCTCTAATAATCCATTTCATTCAAAGATAATAAAACTACAAAGTAAGTAAAGTCTATTATTCCTTGAACTAATTAAAAACAAAAACAAAAACTCTACTTCTTTCTAGAATAGTAAGTTCCCTAGCCCACAGTAGTATAAAAATCACTTTGGTGTTAGTGTTATAAGAACAGAATCTCTTTCTACCTATAGCTGTATAAATCACCTCTTTTACATGTGACTGTTGAAGCAAATTAAGTGTGAACCATGGAATATTTTATGTAAAAATGATTAGACAGATAAGTACCGTGCTTAAACCAATGCGGCTACGGGGGTAAATGGGACTTAAACTCCTGCTTCGACATCGACTCAGAGATCGCACCGAATTCCACTTAAAAAAAGAGAGAGAGAGAGAGAAAAAGTCAAGATTGTCCAAAGGCTGACATGGCTTGACACAACATGCACACGCCATCAAACACCAGGTTTTACTGGTGTTTATAGGATTTCACTTGCCCATGACGGATTATCAGCTTGAGCTACACTCCTTTCATTTCCTAAAGCTGTCCAATATTGAGCAATAGCTTCTCAAATAAAATTTCACTATAATGAACTTGAGGGATGTTCAGATTCTTGATTGTAGTAGAATATTTTTATGAGTAATCTGTTAGAAATCTAACACTTGAATTTGCAAGTGTTAGACAATGTAAGCTCCATGTGGGCAGGGATTTGTGCCTGTTTTGTTCATTGTCAAATCCCCTAGCACCTAAATATAGTATTTGGGTCATAAATAACTACTGAATAAATAAATATCATCAAATCAAATGAATGAAACATAACTTATGCCCACCTATTCTTCAGTTAAATAAATGAGAAAATTATATATGTGCTGGTTTTATTCTGTATCAATAATACCTCAATAAAGTTGCCTTTAAAAAAAAGGAAATTATATTCATTAAAATGAGATTTTACAAGTAAAATTCATCTTGAAAATTTCCCTTCATTCAACTTTTTTCTTTTTCACATTCTTCCTTTTAGGACATTTTCATTTTGTTTTGGGAGTTTAAGCTTGGGCAAATGTTGGTGATAGGCTTGATGGGGTAGAAGAAGGAAGTTATAAAGGCAATTGCTATTTGATATAGAGCAGAAGTTTCTTCTCTCTCCCTTCCAAACTACACAGTGGGTAAGAGTTTCTTAGTAATCAGTGATTGTTGTAGAATCAAGAAGCATATTTTATGAGATCATTCAGGGGAGAGCATGTGTGGTCATCAAATCAAAAGAACCCAATTTTAATGGGCTCTATTTGCACACCACAAAACATTCTATTGAGATAGTGTTCATTGAAATGGAATTTTTAAACTACAAAAACCTCTTTCTTAAATTCTTTGAAAATAAATTACTCCCCTTCTCCACTCTATGCTGCCATGAAGTACTTCCTTTACTGTCCAGCTCAAAGAGCATAGGAACAGAGACCACTTGGGTGGGCACTTTGCTTTGGATAAGGTGCCTCCCTTCAGAATTTACTTAGTTCTTTCTAGGGAAAGCAGAGGTAAATACTACATTCAATGAACTATGCAGATTATCTAAGTACCTGGGGCCACCAATTCCAGCATACAATTCCCACTACAACACACACTCACTTGCACACTTACACACCTAAAACTTCATTTTATTTAACATGTTCTAAACTTCCTCTAACCAGTGTATGTAGGAAGCAACCTTCCACGATCAATTGGCTCCTTTCTCTATAGCTGCTCTGCCCTTTTCCCCCATCCCTCCTCTCCCTACATATCATACAAAGGAGAGAGAAGCAGGGCACATTCATAGTTTCACAAAAAAAAGAAAATTATCAGTAAAAACTGGCAAATGGTTTCCTAAAAGTTAATTAATCATGTTTAAACACTCGGGATTAATCATAATTAAAGCCTCCAAGGTAATGTGTTCAAAGAGCTTTGCACTTAAAATACCATAATATGTCTAAGATGGAAGAGGTAACTATAACTAGGTCCATCTTATAAATAGAGCAACAACAAAATTACTGCCAGTTAATTGTGAGGAATCATGGAAGAACCAAAGAAAAGAAGCTATCCTTTCCAAATTCATCTCCTTCTCTCCTTTGTATAATATCTTGTCAAAGAAATCTTTATCAACTTCTTTTATAGAATCTTTGGGTTTATAAATGTTCTTGAACTTGTGTATCAAAGAGTGGGGATGAATTGTCACTATGCAAGGCCACCGTACAAAAGCCCCTCTCTTGGTGACAGCTTCTCCCTTCATAATGACACAGTCATTCTCCATGAGTGCAGGCCACACATGATAAAAGACCAAGGGAGCAGTGAAATCTGAGTCATAGCTGCGACGGTACCTGTAAATACACAGAAGAACAAGAGAAGATAAGCATTGAAGTAGCATAACTGAGGGGAACCTCAGTGTAAAGTTACATCTTTTATTTTGTTTAGATCTGGACAAACATGGATTCAGATTCTGTTATTAAAGAGATGATGGTGGCTCTTAAAACAGGAATCAGTGATATCTAGCACCCAGTAATGACTCACTGAGACCACTTCATGTCAACTAATCTTATTCCCCGTCTTCTCAGGATTATAACAGTTGCAAGTCAGAGACATGCTAGCAACATGAACTTCTGACGTCCCTTAAGACTTCTTATAAGATTTCTCCTGCTGTCTCTGTGGGGAAAAAACTGGAAGAAATACAGGTGGATGATTAAGTTAGGCTGGTGAACTAGAAACAGGTTCGATGATCACATCTGAGGAGGGATAATTTTAACGGAACACTGAGAACCTGGTGAAGATCTGAGACCTCTTTTTCAATCCTATAAGTCAACATGTTTATCAGTTATATGAAACATAAAAAAACATGCTCAGGGGCCGGGGATTTAGCTCAGTGGTTCCAGCGCCTGCCTCGCAAGCGCAAGGTCCCGAGTTTGATCCCCGGTACCAAAAAAAAAAAAAAAAAAAACATGCTCAGGCTAGAACTAGTTGGATAGAATCAGGTCAGATACATTATGAATACATATGACGTCCTGAAGTTGAGTCTAAAAAGTATTTAATCACACAAATAGAGGCAATATATAGCTTAGTCATGGCATAAATGAAGATAAAATAGCACATTTCAGTTGTACTCAAAATGAGTCAACAGTATTTTAAGGCTTAAAAAAAGAAAATAAAAACAATTATAAAATTGCTGAACTAATAGGGAATAAGAATGAAAAGGGTGTTGGTCCATCTCAGTCAGCTAGTTCAAACCAGAGTGGACAATTCTGTTAAAAGGAACACTCAACAGAGCACGAAGCACAGGCCAAGAAAACAGATCTATTTGCTAAGAAGTCTCCAACTCAGTCCATTTGAAAAAAACCCAAAGCCATGAGGCCAAAGAAGGAGTTGCTTAATGGTATGAAATGGTTTCTCAAATGTGTGAAGGTTGCCGGGTGACAAAGAATTCGACTTGTTCAATGAAGTTCCAAAAATGTAGTGGTTCCTTGCACAGGTTTTGGTTCCAGGATACCCAAGGATAACAAAATGTACAGATACTGAAGTCTCTTATTAAAATGGCCTAGTATTTGCATGTAACCTATACAATCCTCCTGTATACTTTAAATCATCTCTAGATTACTTTTAATACCAAACACAATGTAAATTCATGTAAACAGTTGTTACACTGTATTGTTTAGGGACTAGCAGCAAGGAAAACAGTCTTTACACATTCAGTACAGAAGCATAGTTTTTCCTCAAATATTTTTAATTTCTAGTTGGTTGAATCTGCCCATGGGAAACTCATAGATATGGACAGTTGATTGTTGAATTAAATCCAGTCATTTCTATTAATTCAAATTTCTACTGCAGAGCCAAACAGGCACAATAGATAGCATTTTTCCTCTGGTTAAAGGCACATATGTAATCAGGAGGCCCAACAGAGGTCTGTGAAATGTGCAGATTCCACAAACTAAATGGGTGTTTCCAAGTGGCACTATCCATCCTCTCAAGGGGAAACAAACCAGGGAAGATGGATGATGATAATGTGCTCTAGAAGAGAATAACAGAAGATCCAACTATAGGGTAATGTTCTAATTCTCAGCTCTTCCACAAGTGGGTGCATGCAGGATCAATGACTTGAAAGTAGAAACTTGGGGCCGGAGATTTAGCTCAGTGGTTCTGTCGCCTGCCTTGCAAGCTTAAGGACCTGAGTTCAATCCCCAGTACCCGCCCCCAAAAAAGAAAAGAAGCTAGAAACAGATCAGTGATGTGCTAAAAGGCAACCAGAAAGCCCATTACTGTTGTAACCTGCCTGAGTGAAAGAAAAGAAAATGGTCTCCATCATCAACAGCTTGCTGGAATACTAGGCAGCCACCAACCCATAACTATACCACTAAACCAAGACCCAGAGCTAATATTTTCTGAGCATTTGCTGCAAGCCAAGCAGCATACTATACACTTTATCTGAGTTCTCTCAGATAACTTCATATCACCTTAGGAAGAAGGCACTATTATTTTCCCTATTTGACAGAGAAGAAATGAAGGAACAGAACAATGAAATAGCATGCCCATATGGCATAGCTAATACGTGGTGAAATGGGATCTGAACCTAAGCAGCCTGAGACAGAACTGGTGTGCCTAACAACCAACTTGACCTCTTTCTGGATAATCACCTGCCATAGCTAAGACCTCATCCAATTTCAACATTTTAATTTAATTTCTCTTGATTTATAAGGAAAATATTTACCAGGTAAAACTAAGCAGAAATCTAATGATCCTAGATGAGAACCCAGAACATTCATTATTAAATATTAGTGTGCATTCGACAGACCTGGGCACTGTTAAATTGTAGCCTCCTGAACTCTACTCTGGACCTGCTGGATGGAATACCATGGGGAATGTGGTACAGGACTGTGAATTTTTAATAAGTACATTAAGTAATTCTGATGCAGGTGACCCACATAAATGAAGAATTCTGGCCTAAATAATGCAATAAAAAAGTAATACACATTTGTGTTTATAGAGCACCTTTCTTTTAAACTGTTCCAGACAGGCTCCAGGTACTCATTAGTTCTCCCTAGCAGCCAATGTGTCCAGGGGAGAATGAGCCCAGGAGGGGACCTTGCCCAGGAATATAGAAAAGCACACAGCATATCCTGGAAAACATTTGGCAGCTATTGATGTCCCCACCCAGAGTTCCTTCCCTTAGAAAGTACACAGGGAATGGAGACAACATAATTACTGAGGAATCCCTTAGCTTCTGCACCTCTTACTTGCAATCATTGAAGATTTCTCCATCAGCCCCAAAGGTGATATCAAGGGGAGGATCCAATGACTGCATTGCAAAGGCAATACAGCATATCTCCTGGATGAAGTCACTGAGGAGGCAAAAGTCGACTTCAGGAGGGAACGAGATCTTGGGGTTGATATTCATGGCACGGATCACATCCTGCAAAATCAAAGCTGGTATCAACTAGTTGCCAACCTGTGACAAGAAACTTGATATCCTGGGACTCTAATATCATTGTGATGGTTGGGAAGTGGAAAAAGAGTGTGGAATGAAAATGAGCTAAACTAGAGCAATAGTGTATATTCTACAAGGAAAAGAATGCTGTTGCTCATTATTAAAGAAGGAAAGATGACACAGCACAAATGACAAGCTAATGGCCAAGAAAGTCCCTCTAAAAAACTAAGGGGCTTTTATTTATAATTTTCTTGTTTTTTCTATTGTGCATGATTGTATAGGTGTCAACATAGGACTCTGACTTATTCCTAATCCATAATAAGGATTAAAATAGCTTGCTTTTATTAAGTACTATGTACCAAGTCTTGTACTAAGCAAATGATCTGCTTTCTGTCATTTAATTCTCTCACTAAGCAAATGACTTGCTTTCTGTCATTTAATTCTCTCACTAACTCTATGAGATAATGACCATTGTTGCTCCTATATAAAGATTAAAAGAGAGGTCACCCAGTAATCAAGTGGCAGAGTCAGAATTCAAATCCACACTTATTTCCCAAATTCCTTGCTCTTAAGAACTATGTTACTCTATCTCGCAATCTTAAGGAATCGTCTAATAGAACAATGAAACTCAGACAGCTTTCTCCAAAAAATTTCTAAAGAAGAAATAAATAATGACTATTAATCCCTGCTCCTTTCTTCTATTCCATCACATAGAAAAGTAATACTATGACCAGCTGGTGCACAGTGAGGACCTTGGTGGGGTCGAGCCCCACTCTGTTCCTGTGCCCCACCCACAGCAACCAGCTTAGCCATGCGGGTGTCTGCCCCTACCCCCACCCCACCCCCCACCCCCACCTCCTGGCTGCACCGCTACCTGGTTCCACACTACAGAGGCACAGGGGGTCATAAAGGCCATTGTTCTGAGCTCCAGAAGATAGAGCAGAAGTGAACAACAGAAAGAGAAAGAGGGCCTCTCTCAGGCTCCTTGATGATAACTGAAGCCCCCTAGAAAAGTGAAGAGAATCTCTGCAATAAAGGCACACCAGACTACCATACTTGGTAAGTTGGAGGGATCATCACTTACCATTGGAACCTGGACTATCATCAGGGGAGGGGCAGCTGGAACCTGCAGTAGAACCTTGCAGAGTTCAACCCTGCAGGAGGACATGGGACTTACAGCCAGAAATCTGCCTGAATCTCATGGGTCTGCTACTGGCTTGCTGAGACTCATTGACTTATATCTGCACACAGCTGACCATGGTGCCTATTGTGACAGCAGAGACATACCCTGAAGGAGGCCCTTCATTTTTTTTTGTTATTTGCAAAAAATTTTTTCTCTTATTTTTCATTTTTATTTTTTTCTACTCTTTTCAAATTTTTATTTTTCTCTTCTTTTTTTTCTTTCTTTTCTCTTTTCTTTCACTCTCTCACTCATTCTCTCTCTGGCCCACATTGTTCTTCATATTTCTTTCTGTTTCTGTTCTGGACCTAATTTGGATTTCTTCTTTATTTTTCTTTTCTTCTCTTTTTGCTTCTCTCAATTGTCATTAGTTTTAAAGGAAAGTAAATACAGTTTCTAGCCTCCCTATTTCTGTTAGGTTGTTCTGTTCTCATCTTTGTTCTTTCATTCTGCCTTTTCCACTTGTCTTCAACACTTTCTTAGAGTTTGCGTAATCTTCCTGTGTCCCATGGCCTCACTGCTAACCTTTCCCTATCCTTCTACCTATCTATCCCTCCCTCCCCAACTTCTTCTAACTCCCCATTCTGAAGGGTAAAGTTGCTATATTGAAAACTTTATTCACTATAAACACACATTGGGCTGGTCCTTGGTTTTCATTTGTTTCACACAGTTAAAGGTGATAGAGTAATAACTACAACAAATTGTCATTTTCTAAGCTATACTTGATGCTACGGTGTTGCTGATTTGGGCTAAGGTGTTGTGATTGCCTTCCTGGTATAATGAAAATGAGATAGACTCAGAGTCATTAGAGACTCAAAACCTAAAGACCAGCTATATCTGGAAGATACCCCTGAAAAACAATCATTCCACAAGGGTTCTAAACACAAGCAACAAAGACACTTACAATAAGCAATTTCAAAGTATAAACCCAGGAAATAAACCAAGGATAGTACTAAAACAAAAATGAGAAGACATTTAAGCAAGGCACAAACTCAGACTTCCACCCCACCAAAGGCAAATTCTGGGGGAAACAAACTGGAAGAACAATGATAATCAACCACCTGGACACCCTGAACTGATAGCACAGGAATTAACAAAACAGATGAATGAGGCTCCAGAAAAATTCAAAACAGAAATAATTTTCCAGATAACTACAGAGACGGTGAGCAGAGTGAAAGACATGATTAGAGGCTCTGGAACAGAAACAGATAAAAAAAAAAAATAGATGAGCTCAGAATCATGCTGGAAGCCATGAATGTGCAACATAAGAAAGAAATGGAATCCATGAAACACATTCAAACAGATATCCAGGAGATTAAAAACTCTATTGAAAGTATTCACAACAGATTGAGCAAATGTGAAGATAGAATATCAGATATACAAGAAAGGATTGCGGTTAGTGACCATGAAGAAAGAGATTTTTTAAAAATAGTAAGGAACCACAAGAAATCAATCCAGCAGCTGCTAGATGATACAAAGAAGAATAACATAAGACTGATAGGAGTCCACAAAAAAGCAGGAGAAAGGCCTGGGGATTTAGCTCAGTGGTTCTGCCACCTGCCTTGCAAGTTCAAGGAACCAAGTTCGATCCCGGTACCAAAAAAAAATAAAAAAGAAAAGAAAAGCAGGAGAAAGTACAAATGGCATAAAAAAAAAACCTGTTCACAGAAGTAATAGTAGAAAACTTCCCAGACAGAGGTAGAGAATTGGACATACAGACACATGAGGCATATAGAACTCCAACTAGCCACAATCAAAAAAATGTACACCTAGACATATAATAGTCAAGATCCCAGAAACCCAACAGAAGAACAAAATCCTACAAGCAGTTAGAGAAAAGAAACAAATCACATACAAAGGAAAGCCCATCAGAATCACACCAGACTTCTCAACACAAACCCTCAAGTTAAGGAAACC